AACCTGTTCAGCCTCCACAAGAGAAGGCTGAGGGGGATCTAGTAGCTGTTTACAGTCAGGGAGGACCAGCAGGCATTGGGGGAGTCCTTGTTCCCCTGAGCACTACCAGGAGTGACTAGAAATAATGGTCACAAGCTGGCAGAGGGTAGATTTAGGCTAGACATCAGGAGGCGCTACTTCACTGTCAGGGCAGCTAGGATCTGGAACCAACTTCCAAGAGAAGTGGTGCTGGCTCCTACCGTGGGGGTCTTTAAGAGGAGGCTAGATGAACACCTTGCTGGGGTCATTTGACCCCAGTATTCTTTCCTGCCGTGGCAGGGGGTCGGACTTGATGATTTGCTCAGGTCCCTTCCGACCCTACAAACTATGAAACTAAGACCTATCAAAAGGGAGGAGGGTCATTATTACTATTGCAGTATTGTATTATTGTTATATTGTAATAATACTACTATTATTAATACTATTGTTAGTAAGTTATGATTACTGTTTAGTGCTCGAAGTCCATTGTACTAGGCTCTGTACAAACACATAGTGCAAGATGGTGCCTTCCATCAATAACATAAGAAGGGGTGGGTGAGAGGGACAACCAACCCAGGCACCAAGTTAGGAGTGATGCCAAATAGCCTCCCACCCTCATGGACTCTGCACCCTGGCAATGAGAGCAGTCCATGGGTCATTCATTCCAGGAACTGGAAAACAGTCCCCAGTTACAACTGCTGCTTTAATAGCAATACCCAGGGTGGGCAGAGCAGTAGCTCAGCTGGGGACTGTTTTGAAGTTCCAGCATGGGTAAGACTGGTGCAACCCCCTGCTCAGCTCCTCCCCACTCTCATAACCCGCACGCCCTCCACAATCTCAGAACCCATGTCCCCTCCCTCCCTCCACTCTCAGGACCCATATGTGCCACTTCCCGACTCTCAGAACTGCGTACCACCCTTCTGGCTGGATTTACCCAGGATGCCAACTCTGCTTGCTACAACTCTGCCTACTGGGGTGGACTTAGTCTAGACAGGGAAGACAGGATGGCATGGGAAGAGGCAAAGAGGCATAGTCATGTAACAGATTCAACATTAAAATCCAGGTCCCGTGATGCCCAGGCCAGTGCCTTATTCATTATTAATTGTAGTGCCTGATACAAGGGAAATGTAAATATTTGATTTTGTTTTTGTTATTAAAGCCCATCCAAGTTATCATGTGTTTAAATGGGTTCATTTTCACCACACTGTATACTCTGGGCAGTTTAGTTTCTAGGATCCACCCATGGGATTATGTTACTTACACCTGAGCACAATATGCCCATTCCAGAAACTGGAGATTTGAGAAAACAAGCACATCTTGCCAACACTTGAAACACTTCTGGGTCCTCAGAGACATAGCAGGGAAAATATATGCACCTTGGGCAGCCATCTCTCCCCCACCTCCCTTCTTGATTGCAGGCAAGGAAACAAAGCAGAGAGCAGAGTCCAACCAACCGCCTCCAGGGGTAGAGAAGCCTGCAACCTCCACTGCAGAGGAAGGCAGAACTCCAGCAAGGAGCCAATAGAGCCAGGGGGTCTCCCCTGGCCAGGACTTCCCTCCCCGGAGGGGTTTCCCAGCCCCCTCCCCCGCCATCAAGGACCAAGAGCAAGGGCAGTGGGAAGGGCTCCTATTCAGCCTCCTCCACAGCTGGGGGTGGGAAGGGCAAGGGCCCTGCCCCCAAGCCTAGACCCCCAGCCAGCACCTGAGGGGACCAGGTGCACTATACCAGTCAGCACACCCACTCAGTCTGCCCCTGGCCCTATCCCCAACCCCACCAATGTGGCCCCCCCACAGGGGAACAGCAGCTATGCACAGGCAGCTGCAGGGCAACCCAAAGCCTCAGGACCTGGACCCTCCACCACTGGCCCTTCCAGCTCAAGCTGGGGTGAAGTGCCAACTACCCAAGCAGGAGAACCTGCACTTTGTGACCTGGGTGCAGGCCCTGCCTCAGATAGTGGGGGCCCCCAAGATCATGGCAGCCTCCCATTTTCATGGCAAGGGGGTCTTTTCATGGCAAGGGCCTGGAGGCTGCTGCACAAAAAGCGATGGAGAAAGAGCTCGTAGTAGAAGGCAAGTACATCCTCTTCAAGCCCTTAGAAGAGCTGGGGACCAGGGTGGTCCTCAGCTTTGTCCTACCCTATAGCCCTAATCGGGCCCTGCTCCCCCAGCGCCAAACTCTGGGGAGAGTTATCTCCCCAGTGGTGGCCCTCTCGCTGAGGTGCTGAGACCCCGGCCTCTGCCACATGTGCTCTTTCCATCACCAGGTTATGATCCAGCAGGCGGCGAGAACATGGCTGGAGTCTGAAGGGTGCCTTTGATTCCTTTTCAGGGGGCCCTGGTGAAGGTTTTATATATGCTGGGGGACCTGTGATGCTTCTGGTGCTGCACCCCAGGGTACTTATGTCACAAGTGCCCCATGGGCCAGGAGGAGAGGGCATCCACAGGTCCCACTGGTGAGAGGGGTACCCCTGCCACTGGTACCCATCCCCCCTCAAGCCCCCCTGGCACCCCAGCCACATCATCCAGCCACCCTGTGAGCTCATGGGACCCTACCCCCACACCAAGTTTGGCGGGGTCCCAGGGAGGGCAGCAGCAGCCAATGAAAGAGAGGGAGCAGGGTCCCCCACTCATGCCCCCACTGGGGACTGGACAGTCCCAAACAGGAACCCATGGAGGAAGCCCCTCACTCCACTGGCCAGGGCCTACCCCCTGAGACCATGGGCACCAAGGCTGAGGTGAACCCAAAGGAAGGTCTGGCAATGGAGCCATGCCCCGCCTTTCCCCCCCCGCCCATGGATCACCTGGGAGAGACAGGGGCCCTGGGGCTCACCCTAGTGAGTCCTGGCAAGGGAGATCCCCTTTCCCAGGACCCCGAGGCAGACACCAAAGCCACCCTGGTGCCTGATAGGTATCTTCCCTCTCCCTCCCAGAAAAACCTCACTTCCAGCCCGCCCCATGGTCCCACACCAGAGGGGGTTGGGGTGAGGTCCCCTAATCAACAGGCCAATTTTGTCAGGTACCCTGCACAGACCCCCCAGGGCTCCAGCTCTATGCTACCATCTTGTGAAGGAACCCCACCTTTACCCCCACCCCTGTCCCAAGGGGCTGCAGAGCTTTCCCAATCCCAACTGAAGTCCAGGTTCTTAGTGGACCAGGAGGTTCAGACAGTGCCTAAGGCGCCTGCTGAGCCCCAGGACCAGGAGGAAGATGTCCAAGAACTGGCAGGCTCCATGGAGCCTACAGACCTCTTGATCCTGGTGGTCTCCAGGGGTGAGCTACTTGCATTTCTGGACCAGGGAACGGAACCAGGCTACTGTGGGTGTCCTCAGGGAGATCCTGATGGACTACACCCTGGTGGACGTCTGGTGTGCCTGTCACCCTACCGGCACCCCTGCTTTCACCTATATGGGCGGGGGGGGGAGAAGCAGGCATGCCCCTCCCAGTTAGACTGAATTTATACCTCTTTGCCACACTTTGTCCAGACCCACTCCTCTGGCATCCTGCCAACCCCTTTCAGCAATCACCACCTTGTTTGAACCCTAGGCCATGCTAGGGCCTGGGCGTCCAGGATCAGCCTACTGGCATTTCAGTGCCAGTCTGCTGGAGGATGTGGGCTTCAGGGAGGCCTTCTAGGAGTTCTGGTCGGTCTGGTGGGAGCAACGGGCAACTTTTCCCTTGGCTCAGAGATGGTGGAAAGTGTGCATCCAGCTTTTTTGCTGCAGCTACACTCAGGGGCACACCCAGCAGAGGGAGGCGGTCCAGGAATAGCTCGAGCAGGAGGTGCTAGAGCTGGAGAGGCACCTGGTCACCAACCCAACTAACCTGTGCCTCTGCAGAGAGGGTCGGCAGAGGCAGGAAGAGCTTCGTGCTCTGGACGACCACCGTGCGTGCAATACGGTTGTCCACTCGTGCGTCCAGCTCCTTTGGGAGATGGACCACAGCTCCCTCTTCTTCTATGCCCTGGAGAGGATCGCCTGCTTTCTGGCACCCTCACAGATCCAGGTGAGATGTGCCAGCACGCATGGGCCTTCTATGAAGAGCTCTTCTCCCTGGATCCAACTGATGCTGAAGCCTGTCAGACCCTGTGGGAAGGACTCCTGCAGGTCAGCATGGTTGACCAGGACCAGCTGGAGGCTCCTCTCACTCTGGCTCAGTTTTTGGCCGCCCTCCACCTGATGCCTGGCAACAAGGCACCAGGCATTGACGGGCTGACCATGGAGTTCTACCAGGTCCAGCCCCTCTCCCAGGGCCTTCTGGGATGTCCTTGGCCTGGACTTTGTTGTAGTTGGAATCTGAGGGAAGTGGGGAATTCCCCCTGTCATGCTGGAGGGCCATGCTGACCCTTCTGCCAAAGAAGGGGGATCCCCACAACCTAAGAAACTGGCATCCCATGTCCCTCCTCTGCATGGATTACAAGGTGGCAGCAAAGGCCATCTCACTGCACCTGCAGTCCATGCTGATGAATGTGATCCATCCCGAACAGACGTACATGGTGCCTGGACATTACATCGTCAGCAACCTGTACCTGGTTCAGGACCTCCTGAAGTTAGCATGCTGGGAAAGCCTGTCTTTTCGCTTGCTATCCCTGGACCAGGAGAAGGTTTTTGACAGAGTGGATCATGGGTACCACACAGGCATGCTGCAGGCCTTTGACTTCAGGCCCTTCTTCATGTGAGCTCTCCAGATGCTGTATGCCTCTGCAGAGTGTTTGGTCAAGGTCAACTAGACCCCGACAGAGCCCATCCCATTCAAGAGAGGGGTGCATCAAGTCTGCCTGCTGTCAGGCCAGCTGTGCGCCTTTGCCCTGGAGCCCTTCCTTGTTCTCTTGTGGTGGCAGGGTTGATGCTCTGGGAGCCAGCAGTGTGGCTGGTCCTGTCAGCATATGCTGATGACGTGGTCTAGGACTCAGGTGACCTGGCACAGGTGGAGGCTTGCCAGGCATTGTACTTGGCCTCCTCCTCTGCCCAGGTCAACTGGGTCATGAGCTTTGGCCTGGTGGTGGGTGACAGGTGGCAGGTGGGCTCACTCCCACCCACACTCCACTGGCTCTGCTGGAACATGGGATCAGTGCTGTACTTGGAGGTCTACCTGTCCCCCTCAAACCCCTCCCCACCAGAGAACTGGCACCAGCTGGAGGCAAGGGTGGTGGAGTGGCTCCAGGCATGGGCAGGGCTCCTGAGGTGTCTCTCTCTGCATGGGAGAGCGCTGGTGCTGAATCAGTTAGTCCTGTCCATGCTCTGGCACTACTTATACACCCTGCCTGTTCCCCCTGAGGTCCTGGCAGAGCTCCAGAGATGGACACTGGAGGTTTTCTGGCCAGGAAGGCACTGAGTCGCTATGGAGGTCCTGAGGCTCCTCTTGTGGGAGGGCGGTCAGGGCCTGGTTTGCCTAAGCAGCCAGGTCCTGACCTTCTACCTTTAGGCTCTGCAGTGACTACTATACAGTGTCAGCAGCCACCTGGCATGGGGCCACCTGAGGTCTGCCTTCCTCTGCCACTTCCAGGGGCTCCAATATGACTGGCAGCTCCTTGGACTGCAGGGCTTCTCCCTGCAGGACCTGTGAGGGCTGCCAGGGTCCTACCAGGACCACCTCCAGGCCTGGAGGTTGGCCTCTGCCTTCAGGTCCCCTGCAACACTCACCCAGGGCACCAATCTGCTCATCAAGCCCCTGCTCTGGAACCCCCAGCTGGAGGTGCTGACAGCAGAGGCACCCCAGCTGTGACAGAGGTTGATCCTGACTGGTGTCTCCCATATCAAAGACCTCCCGGACTACAATAGGCAGGATTGGGTGGACCCTGCTGCACTGGCCCAGCGCATGGGTCTACCCATGACGTGTGACCTGCCATCTGGTCCAGCAAGTGAAATCTGCCCTACCTCCTGATACCCTTGCCCTTGTTGACCAGGTCCTGCACAGTAGCAGTCCCCCCCCCCCCATGTCCTCCAGCCCACCAGAGTTTGTCACGGGGC